CACGCGGCGGCGCTCGAGGCCGCCGCGGACCGGAGCGCCGTCGACGCGGCCGCGCGCGAGGCCGAGCTCGCGGGCCGCGTCGAGGCCCACGAGGCCGAGGCGGCGCGGCGCGCCGAGGCGCACGAGGCCGCGACGGCCGCGCTCGTCGAGCGGCACGAGGCCGAGGCGTCGCGGCGCGCCGAGGCCCACGAGGCCGCGACGGCCGCGCTCGTCGAGCGGCACGAGGCGGACGTCGCGGCGCGCGTCGACGCGCGCGTGACCCGGCGCGCGAGCGCCTTCGACGCCGAGGCGGCGGCGCTCGCCGCGGCCCACGCGGCGGCGGCCGAGGGCCTCGCCGACGGCCACGCGGCGTCGCTCGCGGCCGCGGCCGCGGGCGAGGCCGAGCGGACGCGGCAGAAGCAGGCGCACGCGAAGGTGCTCGTCCGGCGCCACCGCGACGAGGTCGAGCGCCTCGAGCGCGCCCGGGACGCGCTCGCGGGCGCCCACGCCGAGGAGCTGCGGCGGACGCGGGACGCGGCGGCGGCGTCCGGCTCGTCGCGCGACCGCATCGTGCGCGACGCGGCGCGCGTCCACGCGGCGGAGCTCGAGGCCGCGCGGGGCAAGCACGCGGCGCTCGTCGCCCGCGAGCGCGACGCGCGGGACCGCGCCGCGGCGGCCCACGCCGCGGAGCTCGCGGCCGCCGCCGCGCACCACGAGTCGTCGCTGCGGTCGACGAGGGACACGGCGCGGCTCGAGGCCGCCGCGGCCGTCGCCGCGGCGCAGGACGCCGCGGCGGAGCGCGTCGGGGCCCTCGAGCGGTCCCTCGACGGCGAGCGGCGCCGCGGCGACGCGGACCGCGCGTCCGCGGAGAAGCGGCGCGACGCGGACCGCGCGGCGTCGGCCCGGCGCCACGAGCGCGCGGTCGCGGCCGTCGTCGCGACCCACGAGGACGAGCTCTACGAGGCGCTGCTCCGCCACGACGCCCTCGCCGCGGCCGCGGCCGCGCACGCCGCGGCCGACGCGGCGCGCGCCGCGGCCGCGGAGCGCATGCTGCGGGACCGC